TAGCTGGCCGCAGGTGGCTCGTTAATTAGCGGCGCTTTCGGTTCCTCTTTTCCCCGCTAGCTACCCCCCGCGGATTTCGCGTGGGCTTGTTGCGAGCTTCCCTGCAGCCCCGTGCTTCCCTGAAACCTCGTGCTGACCGAACCTGACATGGACAATCCTAAACTTTACTGTAGCCACCAGCACCACACTTAACCCCGCAACCCTCCTACCACAAAGATAGCAGGGAGAACTTGAACACGACTGTATGTGAGTGATTGAAACTACCTTCTCCAGTTACCCCGATTTGAAAGACACCCCATTACCAATGCATATCAGGATCTACACAAGCTAGAAATCATAGTTTCATTTAATTTAGACCAGCAATGCATACTTGAGAGTTAAATGGTTAAAGTGTTAATTGGAGGCCTGCTTGCTTGTTCCTGGCATCAAAATTAGGAGAAGGGGGGAGGAAGATGCCAAGCCAGGTGCTACTGTTATCTCTGCAGAGGTGCCAACAAGGTCAAGCAACCGTGAGACTAGGAGAAAGGCATGAAGAATTTCAAGCGGGAAAAGAAAGTAGAAGGGGGGAAAAGGGGGCTTAAAAGGGAAGGTTTTGCTTAGGAATGCTTAGACTCAACAACTTATAGATGCTGTATATTTCTCTTAATAAAGAAATCTTTACTGGAACTAATTAGATTCCAGAAGATTTACTGAACTTTGGGAATGAGTGTGCAGACTCTGACAATGCAGGCTGAGTACTTTGTGAATGGCGGCAGCACGGTAGTCCAGGGAGAAAGAAGAGCAGGATATGCAGTGGTCACACAGTGGGAAGCAGTAGAAGCCAATCTTCTACCCCTTCACGCCTCAGCTCAAAAAGCAGAATTGTTGCAATGATTCGTGCTCTCTCCCTAGCTGCTGATAAGACAGTTAATATTTATGCAGATTCTCGATATGTTTTTGGCATTTTACACGTGCATGGTGCTTTGTGGAAAGAAAGGGAATTACTGACTACAGCTGGTAGCAGTCTTAAACATGTACAAGAAATCTTGATGTTGCTGGAAGTTATAACCTACCCAAAGGAAGTAGCTGTCATGCATAGCAGAGCACATCAGAAAGGAAGTGACCCTATCACTAACGGAAATCGAAAGGCTGATTAGACAGCTAAGGCAGTGGCCCTTAAAGATATTTGGAAGGCCAAGATTGAAGCCTTAGTGCCTCAAGTTATTTTACCAGATGACCCACAGTACACTGAGAAGGAGCAGCAAGCAATAGGTTGGAAAGCTGTCCGGTGTTCCGATGGTTGGCTAGAGACTCCCTCAGGAAAGATTGTGGTATTGAAAATCCTTATATGTCAAAGGATACAGGACCTTCTTCAATCTAGCCATCAAAGCGCAACTGTAATGGAAGACCAATTGTGAGCCCAGGACTATATGCGGAAGCTGAACGAGTGGTAGCACAGTGTGAAATCTGCTTAAGGAATAACCCTAAAATTGTGAGGAAAAGTCCACCGGGGGCACAACCAGAAGGAGCAGGGCCCGGGGACGCCTGGCAAGTGGCCTTCACAGAATTGCCTAGGACACAAGGATATCGATACCTGCTTGTTTTTGTGGACATGTTTTCAGCATGGCCCAAAGCCTTCCCCTGCAGGACCAACAAAGCCAGAGAATTGACCAAGCACTCACTAGCACAGATCATTCTGAGGTTTGGGGTGCCCCAAATTGTGGGATCAGATTCCAGGCCACACTTCGTCTCCCAAGTAACCCAGCAAGTGTCAAAGGCCTTGCAGATTCGCTGGAAGTTACATTCTGTTTGGAGACCTCAGAGCAGTGGGTAGATTGAACGAATGAACCAGACCCTCAAGCGTCACCTGCCCAAATTCTGTCAGGAAGCCCAATTAAACTGGCCACAGGCTGTACCATTAGGCTTAATGAGGGTTAGGGTATCACCTAGAGGAATTAACCCTTTGGAAATTCTATATGGGAGACCCTACCCAGTGGCTTCACTAGTGGCACATGGTACTCAGATGACTGTTGGGGGAAAAGAGATGCTAAAATATGGTCTGCCTTTCTACTGCCTTTTCTTCTCTCCACAGATATACTCATGCCCACCAGTCTCTGCCCTTAGATGCTCCAGTCCACAAAATCAGACAAGGAGATCAGGTCTACCTAAGATCCTGGAAAGACGAAACTCTGCAACCACAGTGGAAGGGACCATTCCAAGTGTTGCTGACAACCCAGACATGTCTAAAACTAGCCGGAGTCAAGCTGTGGATTCACTATACCAGAGTAAAGCAGGCAGCAGAACCAGACACTCCACTGGGAGAGTGTCCAAAAGCAGTGGACAATTGGACCTGTAGAAGGTGTGAAGTATTTGTTCAAACAATAGGTGAATGGGCGGTGATCCGGGACCTTATCCATCCTTTACAACAGTACCACATCCTTTTCAACCTCCTTCATATGTACCCCTCGTGTATGTAGATAAACAGTACGAATGACCTATGTTATAGGAATATTGAGTTCTGTTATTAGAGAAATCGATAACAAAGTCTTTTGGTACCTACCCTTTGAAGTCAGGCAGATCCCTCTTTGGGAAGATTAATGGGAAGGGGATTGAAGCCTCAAATTATGATCTTGGGTCCTTCTTAATCACCCCCTTTGGGGATAGTGATTTATCAAGGGAGAAGATGCTCCCCAGAATGGTGGAAGTTAATTGTTCATTGTTAACATTCCCAAGTAACTCAGTACCAGGGTCCTATTACCTTACCAAGCTAGCATTCCTAAATAGATAGGCAGATGGTTTGGGTTTCATCTATTGCTGTCATATCTACCCAACAAGCAAGTTGCCCAGAGGTCAAGGTACTCCCAATGGATACAAGACATAGTACGCGCTTAAATAATAAACAAAAGCATACATGGATAAAAGTAGTTTATCAATACAATGCATTGTAAACTAAATTAAAACAGGCTGTCCCATCATCTACAAAGTGCAAGCAGTAAGGAGAGGAACTGGGGGCACAAGTAACATTTTTTTTCTTGGAGGACATGGCCCAGCAAGAGAAGAAGAATACTGGAAATGAACTGCACAGCTGGGGCCAACAGGAATGGTTTTGATTCTTCGACAATGGGATGGATTTTAGAGCTGAGGGGCCCATGGCAAAAGGGGCCCTTGGCACTACAGGAGGACAGGGAAGAAAATGTTTAAAACCTGATCTCAGGGGCTTTAAGCTAATGTCTGCAGGTGATGGAAAGTGACTACCAAAAGTAGGACAACACCTAGATTTGGACTGGGTGGTTATACATGTGAAGAAAAAGTTTCTCAAGTCGTATCTGTGGGCAGCCTCATGTGATATCAACCTTGCAATTAGCAACTGTTTCCATAAAATGAGGGGGCACCTACCCCAAAAGAAAAGGTTTGCATGAAGCCTTTTGGTCCACCATTCTGGGAGACTTGGTGGCTGCCCAGCTGATCACTCAAATCCATCTGTGGCATCACAGCCATACAGGAGAGTCAGTAAATGGGTAAAGGGGTCACCCCTCATAACATCTGCGCATAGGCCTGGAAAATGGCTGGCTTTGGGCATTTGGTCTGCTGACAATGTACTTAACAGGGCTGTTTCCGTTCTGAGTTGGAGAAGCAGCAGCTGTTGTGGAACTGCATCAGAAACATGGTGTCAAAGTTTCTATCTTCATGAACAACCTGGCCATAATAATTTGCTGGCATTTAAGGTTCAGCTGTTGCTCTGAAGCAAAGAAAGACATTGGCTGGCTGAGAGAAGATCTCAGTTTGGCCCTGTTAGAAATGCCTCCATTTAGAGTTACAGACTTTCAGTGGAGACACACGAGTTCAGGATCTTAAGCAGTCATGAAGTCTCCAGGGAACACACGGCACACGGAGAGTCTCTGTTAACCTACAAATGCTTTATTATTTACAATTGCTTAAGCGTCACACGTGCACATGTGCATACACATGCATACCGCCTTGCCCTGCTACACCTAGGCTCGGAATTTTCAAGGATTGGGGAAGACAGGAGCTCTCTGTTGGTGATAGTTGCATGCATGGATTGGGGTCTTCTAACAGAGCCCTGTACTGCTTCTCCTTTTCTCCGTTGCCAGAAGCATCCACCATATATTCTTTTTCACATCATCTCAGCCCTTCACTGACCTGTTCGGTTGCTGGTCACATGTGACTTACTGCATGGTGAGTAACTGTTAACCTTCTTATCTCTGGTAGTTGTCCTCTGGTCCTTGTCTGGTCTTGATGGATTTTCTCCCTGGGACTGCTCCAGGGCGATTCTTCTTTGTGGTAGTTAGTAGCCAGACCTGGTGCAGAGGCTTCCTTCTTTGCTTTTCCTGAGTTGGATCTGTCTAGTTCCTTCTGAGTGACCCAAGCAGGATTTGAGCAGAGGTCCATCTGTCCACACTGCACATCTGCATCTGTCCTCAAACTCTATTCACCTGTTTCTCCCAATGTCTTATTTCTTGAACATTAACAATGGCATAAGCAAGCACGGTGACTGGAGAAATTCTGGACATTATACATTTCGGCATCACTGTTAGCCAAAGCAATTTCTATCATCTGCATGGCTTGGTGGACCTCTAGAAGACAACGGTAAGTCCACTGTATAGCTGAGGAACCTTGGCAGCCTACAAACACTGCCTACTTTTCCATGGATCCCCAACCTATCACACTGTCTAGGTGCAGCTAATGTGGCAAGAGGGAGATGAAGATTTGGGGAGCACCGATTCAGACAGATCTGGATTTGACCATGTTCCTGCTTGGCAGAAATATTCTAATGATCTGTTCCCGAATCTCCTTGGTTCTCACTCCATACACAATGGGATTCAACATAGGAGGAAAGAGAAGGTAAAGGTTGGCCAGTAGGATATGAATATGGGGAGTGACATTGTGGCCAAAGCGGTGGGTGAAAAAAGAGAAGAGTGCTGGGGTATAAGAGATGAAGATGACACAGAGGTGGGAAGCACAGGTGCCAAAGGCCTTGAACCTGGCCTCAATGGAAGAAAGACGGAGCACTGCACGGACAATGAAGAAGTAAGAGAGGCCAATGCATAGAAAGTCCCCTCCAATGACGATCAGGGCCACACTTAGCCCGTAGGCACGGTTGATGCTGGTGTCTCCACAGGCCAACTTCACCACAGCCATGTGCTCACAGTAAGTATGCTGAATAACATTTGTCCGACAGAAGGACAGCCTTTTCATCAGGAAAGGACATGGAGACATCAACAGGGTTCCCCTGACAACACTTGCTACCCCCATCTTGGCAGCTAGTGAGCCCGTGAAGAAAGAAGTGTATCTGAGAGGGAAGCAGATGGCCACGTAACGATCTAGAGCCATGGCCAAGAGCACTGCTGATGCCATCATACATAACGCATGGATAAAGAACATCTGGATCAGGCAGCTATCAACCTGGATCTCCCCAGCCTGGAGACAGAAGATGCAAAGCATCTTGGGCAATGCAGAGGTGGAGGCTGCTAAGTCAATAGTGGACAGCATGCAGAGCAAGTAGAACATGGGCCTGTGGAGTGCTGGTTCTGATACTATCACTAGTAAAATGATGCAGTTCCCAGTAATAATGATCACATAGCTGATGCAGACTAGCACTGAGAACCACCTGTGATATGCCTCCAACCCTGGGATGCCTTGCAACACAAAGGCAGAAGGCCAGGAGTATGTCAAATTGACCATCATTCAGATCATCAGAGATGCACCAACCACTTCGGCCACTAGCTTCACTGAAGATCATAGCACCTGTCAATCAGAGCAGAAGAACAGAGAGGTGGGAAGTGCTTGGAGCTGCAGGAGCCCTTCTCTTTTTTACTCTCCTTCGACACTGCAGAAGTCTTGCTCATGCTAAACTATGGCGTGGGCCAGCCCTGTGCCCTGCCCAGAACCCGTCTCCAGTGGAAAATTGGGGGAGCTTCAAAAGAAGCGGGCAGCTCCGGTCCCACAGTGGCAGCAGTGGGCCGGGGGGATTCAAGGTACAGCTTTACGAATGAGCTGAAAAATGTTGGCTGCGGATGTGGGAACTGGACCGGGCAGCCCACTGCCCTAGCCAAGAGGGTGCCTGGATTGTTGCATCTGCCGAGCTTGAAAAACTCACCAGGCAGCAACAGCCTTTCTCAAGTCCTTGTAGAATGGGGGTGTCGTGCATCCTCCAGGGCACTGGTTGTGTAGCACCAGTGTTGCTCCTTCCGTGAGGAAGGAGTCTTTATAGGCTTGAACAGCCCAAGCGGGATCCTGGCCAGCTCCCACCCTCAGCATGTCGCTGCTGTTCTGCCACCTTGTTGTTCTTTAAGCCTGCCTCTCAGGAGAAGCTGCGGGCTGCTTTGGGGGCTCTCAGAAGGCCCAGCAGATTGGGATGTGTGTACGCAGATCACTGGAGACAAGGGGAGGGCGGTCGAAGAGCTCCCCCTCCAGCGTTGCTGGCCCTGAAGATAGCTGAGTGAGCAGGAGCCTCTGCAGACTGGCACGGCCCGTTGGCAGGAGGAGCAGTTGGGCACAAGGGGGGACTGGGGGGCCACCTCCTTAGTCACCCTGTTAATCCAGCTTTTCCTGTTCCCCCTGATGCATTAAGGCAACACACTAGCACACTGCTCTTTCTCTTCCTTTGCTCCACTGTGTTGAAAATCCAAGGAAATAGTGCAAGAGAAAATATGGTGCTGGTTAGGACTAGCAAACACCCCCCTCTCTATGTGACCTTCTCAGGTCGCGGAAAACAAAAACCCTGTTCGTTAAGCCATCTCACTTACAGAAGGCCAAGGGATATTGAATTTACGCTTCACAAAGAATTGGAAGATTGCCTTGGTCCAAAGCATATCCCATTTGATCAGGAGAGCTTGGAAGAGAATTGTGTCTCGCGCTGAGACAAACCCAGGTGTTCAGAGAAGAACTGAGTATTGTGCAAGGGAGTTAGTGGGAGCATTCTATTAATCACGGCATGAAAAACGCACAGTACATTTTTTAAAACCTGTATCTAAATAGAGCTGTAATGGATGAGCCTCATGGTGCTATTTAGCATCTGGAGTACAATAAACGGAAGAAGGAATAAAATCAGCTTCATTCTTGGTGTCCAACGCAACCATTGAATCAGGGAGAGCACTCAGGTGATGCCTTGACTGTGTCTCATCCAGGCGTTGTCGTCCTCTTCTTCTCTTTCCTTCCACCTTTCCCAGCATTAGAGCCTTCTGCAGAGAGCTTGATCGGTGTGGTGTGTCCAAAGTAGGATAGTTTGGCCCTCCAGTAGGAATTCTGGTTGATTTGTCTGATGATCCATCATTTGGTTTTCTTGGTTGTCCATGGTCTTCTTCCTAGTGTAAGGTTTACCCCATTCGACTCAGAGAAACTTTCATGACACGTGTGTTCAGCAAAGAAGTTTACTCAAGCATAATGTACGTAATTACAGACAAAGCTAGGACTGGCTTGGCACATTTTACAATACAATTTATAGTTCCCCATTCCCATGCTTAGCCCCCATTGCTTGGTTACAGATTACCCGCAGTAATCCCCCCCCTTCCCCTTCATGGATCACTGCCTTGTCGTGGCGAAGGGGCTTGCGTAACTCAGTGAAG